CGCAGATAACCCAGGAGAAGAAGGAAAAAAGAAAACAACACAAAACACGAAATAAATGAACTGAATAATAACAAATGATGCTACATTGGCTAAATGTACTTGGGAAACGAGAATCCTGTCCAGCCCAGGAGAGATGGAAACAACACCCACGGCACAACCAGAATCAGGACTCGGTGAATCATTTAGGCTCCGACTCCATTTAGTTAATTCAGTGGCACCCTTGTGCCAATGCTTTACTTAGCACGTGAGGAGAAGTCTATATTGCTCTAGAGCTGATATGTGCCAATCCATGATAGAAACATCATTGATCTTTCTATTTCTCTCTCCCTTCCTCTCTCTGAAATCAATAAAAACATATTTTTAAAAAGGATGAGTAAGAAAAGGCAGGTCCTAAATTAACAAACATCATATTTAATAATTTAACACATTGAAACTGGAAAATGGTCTAACACAGTAGTCGGCAAACTGCAGCTCTCGAGCCACATGCAGCTTTTTGGCCCCTTGAGTGTGGCTCTTCCACAAAATACTGACTTCTGCGCATGGGCCACGAAGTTTCAACTGCACTGTACATGCCCGCCCGCACGTGGTATTTTGTGGAAGAGCCACACTCAAGGGGCCAAAAAGCTGCATGTGGCTCGAGAGCTGCAGTTTGCCGACTACTGTGTTAGACCATTTTCCAGTTTCAATGTGTTAAATTATTAAATATGATGTTTGTTAATTTAGGACCTGCCTTTTCTTACTCATCCTTTTTAAAAATATGTTTTTATTGATTTCAGAGAGAGGAAGGGAGAGAGAAATAGAAAGATCAATGATGTTTCTATCATGGATTGGCTGCCTCCCGAAGGTCCCCTCCTGGGAATCAAGCCTGCAAATCCTAGACACTGCATCTTCTCTTGAGGGGTCATAACAGTATCTTTTCTACCTCCTGCTGTTAGTGTTTAGTTGAAACTAGAAACCTGATATATTAGTAGATAATGAATCTTTTTTTTAGTTTTATAGTTTCTATCTTTTTACTAGTACATTAATGGACTTAAAGTAAAAGTGCCCTAGTCTGCCCTTGAAATTTTTCCCATTTACAACAACCAGGTCCTGCATCCAAACCATAACACATAATTTTCACTCTTCTGGACCTCATAAGAAACTTATTTCACACATTACAAGGAAAAGCATTCTTAGAAAGTTATATATTCACTGCCCAGATATAAAAAACACAATAGTAGAGGAAAATTAAACCTTATTTATTTTTTAAAACCAGACCATTAGGAAAATATATCACAGTCTTGAAACGGCAAACAGACAAGCTATTTTATCATTTCAAGTAATAAGTTGGTAAAAAGACAGCAGCTCCTTATCAAAACAGTAAGGTGCCAGAGCTGGGGTAGGAACACTGTATGTTGCAAAGGGCCCGGCAAAAGTGGTATTTGGTAATGGGGGGCTGCCCTTCTTTTTTCTCCCTTGCTCTTCCTGTTGCCAAAAGATTGTCTCAGTAGGGCTCTGTTATTTGAGGCGGCTACGTAAGCAATACTGGATTCAGGTTTCATTCCTGAAAACCAGGTTTTTCCCAAATCCAGTACTTCATAACTCTTAATGAAGCAGCAACAGTTCCTCTCTCACTGTTTATTCCTGGATATTGGTATACAGCACAATCAAAACCCTCTTGCCCTTCAAGGTGGAGGACCACGGCAAGATTGTCCCGTCACTGCTGCAGACGGGCTTAGGACCCATCACGGCAGCCAGTGAGAAGGAAGGTCTGCTTCCATGTCCAGGGTGACATTGCCTCTCATGTTTCTGTAGGGTTTCCGAGCTGGAAGGTGTAATGTGTGAGCACTTAAATGCATGTCCACACCTTGGACAGAAACGATATCTATCCAAAGGAACCTTTTCAAGTTCTTATCCAAACTCCCTCCCTCAACTCCACATCTTAAATGAACTTTATGCCCTTGTACCTAAAACCAAACCAAACCAAACAAATACTCAGAAACCGTTTTTCCACTTCTCAATTAGTAACCTCATGGGTTTTGTTTCACAGCTTATGGACAATGGTGTGGTAATGCTTCTGGTAAACAGGAGGTTGGCAACAAACAGAAACACCTCTCCTCCCCTCCCACCAGACCACTGGCAGGTTAGAGGACACTGTCAGCTTGTCGGTACCTCAGAGGGCTCTGGCTTCATATGAGGGAAATGCCTGCTGCCAGGATAAGCATTTGCCACATAAAATTTAGGCTCTCAAAAACTCTCTGACCCAAACTTTAGCACCAGTTTTTTCCCCCATTTCACTTTCTAGGATTAAAACATAAAAGAACCCTGTCCAGAGGCAAGTGACACATGCCTTAAACTTGCTGCCATCCTTAATTTCTTCATCCCTAAACTGCTTAAAAGACCAACATTCGCACTCTTCATTTTAAACAGGTTCCTGCCCTCAGCCTCCATGGCCAATGGCAAAGACTGCTATTTCTGAATGGATGAGAGAGACTCCTTCATCTTCTTGGTCAAGGTGGGAATGAGGTTCATATGGTCATCTACGCACTTGGTCACACAACTCTCCAGCTGCCGCTTCACCTGACGCTCTTTACTCCCTGCATTTATGGAGTCTTTGGCTTTGTCGTTGCAATGCACGGTGCACCGGGCCAGGCGGTCCTGGAACTTCTCCAACTCGCTGGTAACCAGGGCCTGGGCTTGAGCCAGAGGTGCGTGGCAGCGCTCAATGCACTGGTGCACCTGCTGCATGGACGCCTGGCTGTCCTCACAACAGTCAGCGCTGCACCGGAACATGAGGCCCTGCATCTTCCGGATATTCTCTCTCTCCAGACTCTTCACCATGGTGTCCACCGCCTCCTGCACCCGAAGCTGCTGCACGTCCGCCATGGCGACCCCGCGCTGCCAATACTTTTTTCTTAAATCCTCACTAAAGGATATTTTTTCCATTGATCTTTAGAGAGAATGTGGAAGTGGGGAAGGAGAAAGAGTGAGAGAGAGAAAGAAAGATCCATGTGAGAGAGACACATCCACTGATTGCCTCTCGCACAAACCCCAACTGGGCCCCGGGATCAAACCTGCAACCGAGGCACATGCCCTTGACCAGGAATCAAACCCGTGCCCCTTTGTTCATGGGTCAGTGCTCTAACCACTGAGCCAAAACCGTCCAGGGCTCACTAATAATTCTTAAACATCTAACATAAGCTCTTATAGAGGATAAGTTTGAAAATAATGAGAGTACCTACCTCTTTTTTTTTTTTAAAATGCTCACCCAAAGATATTTTCCCATTGCTTTTTAGAGAGAGTGGGAGAGGGAAAGACAGAAATATCGATGTGAGAGAAACACAGGAATTTGTTGCCTCCTGCACAAGCCCCAACCAGGGCCCGGGCCGGGGAGGAGCCTGCAACTGAGGTAGTGCCCTTGACCAGAATCGAACCCAGGACCCTTTGGTCGACAGGCCGGTGCTCTATTCACTAAGCCAAACCGGATAGGGCTCTACCTCTTTTGGATGCCAAGACACCCTCAACATCAAGAATTATTCCTGTTGGAATATCGGAAGGAGAAACCAAGATGGCGGCATAGGTAAACACCGGAGATTGCTGCCGCAAACAACCACTTCAAAAATACAACTAAAAGACGGAACGGACATCACCCAGAACCACAGGAA